ATTTACTGAGAAAAATGGTGACGTGTTCAATACTTATTTTACCCGCTGTATGTTCATTTAATTTATTTATACGGCAGGCCATTTTAACATAAAATCACCTTCATATATCTCTATTTACATATATGTAGCTGTTTCTAGTTAAAGCTCATTTTAAATATCTAGACTGTAATTAAAGATATCAGTGTTTACTTTCTGACGAGTCAGAAAAACTATTTAAGATATGGTAAAATGAATTGTGACGAGTCATGATTACACTTCTAGATATCTCTAAGTTAGTTTTGCTGAATCTATATTAGCTTTAAAGATGTCTGCATTTTAATTTGCACCAGTAAAATCTTTATATGTGATATCTAAAATACATTTAAGATGTATTTTATTAGATTTATAAATAGAACAAAAAGTGAGAAATCTTGAAAGCAAATAATGACTTTTGAAAACTAACTTAACTTGAACTGTATTTTTGACTAATCAAAATTCTTATAAAGATATCTTCAATTGAAGCCTCTGAATAATTTAACCTGACATTATTCAAACTCATCAGAATATAATTAGAGATATCTTTAATAACTGATTTGTCTAATCATAAATCTGTTTCAGATATCTGGAGTGTAAGTGTGGTAAAGTTGATTCTGTGTTAAAATGGCCTGCCGTAGTGTTTCTTACAGCCATGACTGTTGTGATGTCAGAGAAGGAGTCCGGAGCGGGACAGGCCAGGACGTCTGAGAACATCAGCAGCAGCTCTCTGTGGAAACACAGTTCAGATAAATGAGAGCAGAGCTGAKGAAACTTCACACAGGAGCATCTTCAACGCTCTCCACCTGCAGCTCTTCATCTGCTGGCTCCTCAGCTCCTCGTCCTCCTCCTCCCGCAGCCTGAGGGTCACACAGACCAGCTTCTTCAGGTCAGGAAGTCCCAGGAAAAACAGAGACCTGTGTTTTCCTCCGTTCATTCTGCAAACACCCAGAGATAACGTGATCAATCAACGAAAACAAATCACTGTAACAGTGCACAGAATAATGAGTAATTAATATTGATTCTGTACTGGGACCATTTAAAATTACTGAATCCCACTAAATATGCACACAAACTAAATGAATTAATACAAAATTTAAAATGAAAAGAAATATAATGAAAATATGTGATTGATTTTTTTTAACTCACTCACAAAATATATAAAAACACTTTAAGG